TGGTGTCTTCTAAATCACTTATTCTCCTTTCTGCCTCTTGAATCTGTGCATTGGAGGCCTCTAATTTATTATGTATTTCATTTATCCCTTTTTTAAATTCTTCATGCCTCTTTATATTCTCCATTTGTCTGTAGCCATAGTTTTTTTGATATCTCTTATGTTTTTTCAAGCCCAGCTATTAATTTTATGATTATTATTCTAAAATCTTGTTCAAATTCTGCTTATATCTGTTTTGAGCAGTTCTTTAGCTGTCAGTTCTTTTTGGAGTTTCTTTTGGGGAGAGCTTTTTCGTTTCGTCATTTTAGTTAGTTTTCTGGCTCTTCTTAGTTTTAAAGACCTGTTATGCTCTCTGCACCTGTGAGCGCTGCTGTATCCAGGAAGACTCTTCGACTGTCCAGGGCCTATCCTTTCAGAGAGTGTTTTTTGAAAGGTATCTCTTGGTCTCTCTTGTTGAGACCTTGGTTTTTGTTTTCCTACTTGTATTGATATTTGGGCCTCTCCACAGTGTGTACTTTGGCCTGTTTCTTGAGGTAGCCCTGGAGAGGAAAACAGACTGACAAACACACAGGGAGCAGGGGCACGCAAATGCACAAACAAATCTGACTAACATGCAAACTGAGAGGGACAGCGAAAAAGTTAAGAGAAAAGACGGAGGAGGGAAGGCAAATAATAGAAAATAAAAAAATACATAAAAGGTCATAAGGAAGAAAAGAAAAGGAAAATAGAAGAATACCAATGGACAAAGAATTGTTTATAGCATATAACCGGATTTCCCAGCTACAATTAAATAGCCGGATATATGCAGTGCTGGTTGAAGAGCATAGAGAGAGAGAAGACAGGTCAGGGATGAGGCAAAATTGGAAATAGAATGAACAGGCAGAAGGGATAAGAAGCTTTTTTCAAAGAATTAAAGGGTGGAGTATGGTTGGTTAGGTGAGAGAAGGATGCTGGTGTTATCCAGAGAAACTATATAGTCTAATTACTACTGAGAGAAAGAGATGAAAAGGTCGGTAGGTGTAGAATTTACATCTACAGAATGGACTAAATTTGATTGTTTAAGCACGCCAGTGACCAGAGGTAATCAGGTCAGTGTTCTATGGAAAAAAAGAAAAAAAGAAAAAAAAAAGGAAAAGGGAGGAGGGCAACTCTCAAGCAGGGATAGACGTGGTGTGATCCAATGCGTCAGGAGGGAGTTCTGCTTTGGCGGTTGTAGGGAGGAGAGTGGTGGCGCTCCACCTCGCTTTTATAGGTGTGTAAACTCCCAGGGCCAGGGGCTCAGCCAAAGTTTGTTGCGCTTTTCAACCCAGGCCAGTCCCAGCCTCCAAATCCCAGGCCAAGCACCCCGCTGAAATTGCCTCAGGAGAACCCCTGGCAAACCCCTCAGGGCAATTCCAAACATACAGGCTAGCTCTGGGGGTGGAGCCAGAAGCCGCTGCTCCCTTCTCCTCCAGGTCGGGCTGGGGAGCCTGGGCGGGGCAGGGGCCTTGTCTTCTGGCACGCTGAGCCCACTGGAGTGAGGAAATCGAGTCCCTCTGTGTCTCGTCACCCAAAACATGAACTCGCGGTCAAATCTGCCAGTTTTTAGCTCTTTGCCTTCCCTCTAGAGCTCCAGCCAGCTAGGAGCACGGAGGCCGGTGCCTGAGCACGGCTCCTCCAGGGGTCCAAGCCCTCCAGGAGGGCAATGGTGGGAGGCGCGCAGCTTCTCCCAGCCAGCCAGTAACCAGCACAAAGAAGCAAACCTCGAGCGCAGCCCCTCCGGGGCAAGTTGGTACGTGGAGGGGCTTGGTGTGCAGGTATTTTATGTGCAAAGTCTTTCTACGCCCCGAGCGGAGGTTTTTTCCCCCAAGCGGAGGTTTTTCTGTTTCAGACTCTCTTTTTCCCCCCTCTAACTCCCTGCAGAGGGGGGTCGCCTCGTCCCTCCAGTCTCTGATCCAGATCCAATTTTATCTTCCCCAGTTTGCACTCACGTTAGAAGGCTTTCTCAGTGGAATCTGCGTCCTTTTTCTCCCAATCTCTTGGGTTTAGTAAGGTTTCCTATGGCTTCAGATCTTTTCCTTGTGAGGCATGGGTGCGAGTGCAGGTACGAAGCTCCCTACTTCTCCTCCATCTTGCCCCTCCCTCCTACTCCAGCTTTCTTTTGACTTCCCATTGCATGATAGATATTTCTCCATCCCCTTACTTTTAATCTGAAGGTATCTTCCAGTCTAAAATGAGTTTCTTGTAGACAGCATATAGATGGATTTTGTTTTTTTATCCATTCTGCTACCCTATGTCTTTTGATTGGAGAATTCAGCCCATTTACATTCAGTGTTATTATTGAGATATGTGGGTTTAGAGTCTTTGTGTCCTTTGTGGGGTTCATGTTTGTGGTGGTGTCTCTGGTATCTTTGTTCCTTGCAACCTTTCCTTCAGAGCATCCCCCTCAGGATTTCTTGTAGGGCTGGCTTAGTGGTGACAAATTCTTTCAATTTCTGTTTATTTGGAAAGACTTTTATCTCTCTATTTTGAATGACAGGCTTGCTGGATAGAGGATTCTTTGCTACATATTTTTTCTGTTCATCACATTGAAGATCTCCTGCCATTCCTTTCTGGTCTGCGAAGTTTCAGTAGATAGGTCTGTCACCACTCTGATAGGTTTCCCTTTGTATGTTAGGGCCCTTTTCTCCCTAGCTGCTTTCAAAATTCTCTCTTTGTCCTTATATTTTGCCATTTTCACTATAATATGTCATGCAGA